AAGGTTAGAAGCGTTCGAAATGTGGTGTTATAGGCGGATGATGAGGATAACGTGGGTAGAAAAGGTTAGAAATGAAGGGGTATTGGAAAGAATAGGAGAACAGAGGACTCTATGGAAGTCAATAAAAAATAGGCGAGATAGGTTGGTAGGACACCTTCTCAGGCATGAAAGTCTAGTCAGAGACAGATTAGAGGCAGCAACAGGGCTTAGGGGGGGGGGGTCGTAGAGGTAGACCTAGGTTAGATTACTGTTCACAAATAGTGAAGGATGTGGATTGTTCTAGTTTTAGGGAAATGCGAAGTTTAGCTCAGGATAGGAAAGAGTGGAGGTACGTGTCCAACCAGTCTTAGGACTGACGACCCTATGATGATGATGATGATACAATTCCTAGATTTCTTACATTTTCGGTAATATACATAAATGTATCTACATATACATATATTGTTCTTACTTTGTCGTTCTAACTGCCCATGTCCTCAAGAACCCATGCATTTACTTAATTTTTGAGAACCACTAAAAACCTTAGGATTTTCGATTTCGAATAATCTGGTGATTTCGATATCCTGTCACATCTTGCTAGCAACTTTTTACCTCCAGGTGTTTTGTAATATGACCTTCCTCTTTCATACATGTATTCGAAGGAAATAATCGAAATTGAACTTGATTTTCAGTAAGAGAATTTTGTGGCTGTTTGGGTTCCTCAGCAGTAAACTTCTGCAATTTCCGGAGAACTTCCAAAATAATATAAGCTTTTAATCGCACTTCATTTTCTTCAACTTCCCCGGACATGGGGCACTTTGCAAGTCTTTGAATCATACCCAGAAAACTTTCATAAAGCAATTGAGATGATTCGCATTCCAGTTTGATATTATTTTCCTTATCTTCTAAATAATTACTGTTACCATGTATTTGTTGTTTTTCTATATTCCGTTGGGGTGAATTGTCTTTCAAACGCCGCATTTTATTATTCATTTTGGTTTTTGAAACATTTCTTAACAGTCTGAAACCTGTTAAGTACTTATCACGACGTTTGCAGTTCAATTTTATCTTGCAACATTTTCTGGGAAAATTTTGCATTTGGAATTTGGGTGACGATTGTTTTCTGAGGGAAGTAATTGTATTACATTTTATTCTTGAATTACTCGAATATCTATTGGGATAATGCAATATGAAGACGTCATTTCTCTTAAATTCATTGCTAATTTCGTTATTACAATTTAAATGCGAACTTTTCTTTGAAGTTGTAATGCTGGGAACATTCTTTCTATTAATGTGATTACTATTGTTACGGACAATTGTTATCCTTCTTTTTCGATGTACAAACCGATGTTGGCAACTATGTTTTACTTTGTAGAGCTTTCCGCATTTGTGAACGATCCTTGCATTTTTCGAAGACTTTTTACACATTTGATTCGAACTTTTCGTTTCTCTTTCGACATGCATTTGTGATGAAGGTGAAGAGTGACCTTTGTCATGAGATATTTTTAGTTGGTGACCAACAACTAATAGATCTTTATCCAACAAATGGGACTGTTGCGTACGAAACATATTAGAAATATTTGGTACAAATGCTTTACAATTATTATCCTTTGCGTTATTCGGTAAGTCAGTTTTCTCTTGAGATACACACGTTGGGTTGTTTTGGGGACTTTGCATTCCCTCAAAATGCTCCTTGACTTTTCTAAATGAAGAAAGCGTAAATGCCACATCAGATAAAAAGCGTTTGCATTGAGTTGCAAACTTCGTGACAAAATCTTGCCCTTCTTCAGTTTGTTCTTCTCGAATATTTTCATCGTCTGTTGATGACGAAGGATTTGAGCAGGAAGATAATAAATACGGTTGACATGTATAATCTTGGTTTACGTAACGAAAAGAATCATAGTTAAAGTTATTCCCCGAATAGAAGTTGTCATACTTTTTACTCAGGTAGTTTGGAAACATAGTTTTAGTTCCAAATTTTCTTTTAGGAGTGTGCGTTTTTCCTTGAAATCGTTCATTATACTCCTTTGTACTCATCGTGTTGAAGCATTCGTTAAGTATTAACGTTTTTAACTTTTTCGGTTTAACTTTATAACCAGCTAGTTGATCCATTGTAGGAGGACATTCTTCTACAGGACAGATTTTTGGTGGATCTCTAATATTTACTGGTCCCAGTCGCTTTAATGACGGTGCTTTACTTGGAACGTGTGGTTCAACACATGGACATGCTGATGCTTCCATTGGAGGTAGTTTTTTCTGTGTTACCTTTAAGCCATCATCCATTCTAGGTGGGCAGCAAATTTCTACTTCGCAGGGATTGCATACTCGTGGTGGTTCGGTAACTTTAAACTTTAATCGTTTTAGACAAGGAGCTTTGGTTGGTATTTCTGGTTCTACACACGGGCAGTCTGAGGGAAGTAACTTGGGTAGCTCTCTGGCAACTACTTTGTAATTGTCGTCTGCTCTTGGTGGACATGTTTCTTCAATACATATTTTTTCCGGCTCAGGTATATCGATCGGCGTAAGTCTCTTTAACGGGGGACTTTTTGACGGAATGAAGGGTTCAACACAAGGGCATGAACCCGTGGGTACTTTCGGTAATTGTTTTGGTTCGACTCTGTAATTATCATCAGCCCTTACCGTATCATCGCAGAATGGTGGTGGGCATATTTTAGGAGGTTCAGGAATGTCCACTTTTTTGAGACGCTTTAGCCGTGGTGCTTCACTAGGAATTTTTGGTTCAATACATGGACAATTGGAAATTTCCAATGGAGGTAGGTTCCGTTTTACAATTTTGAAATTCGCTAATTGGTCCATTGTCGGAAGACACTCTTCCACGGGGCAGACCTTAGGTGCATCAATAATGTTTATTGGTCCCAATCTCTTCAATGACGGTGCTTTGCTTGGAACGTGTGGTTCAACACATGGACATGCTGATGCTTCCATTGGAGGTAGTTTTTTCTGTGTTACCTTTAAGCCATCATCCATTCTAGGTGGGCAGCAAATTTCTACTTCGCAGGGATTACATACTCGTGGTGGTTCGGTAACTTTAAGCTTTAATCGTTTTAAACAAGGAGCTTTGGTTGGTATTTCTGGTTCTATACACGGGCAGTCTGAGGGAAGTAACTTGGGTAGCTCTCTGGCAACTACTTTATAATTATCATCCGCTCGAGGTGGACATTTTTCCTCAAGACAAATTTTTTCTGGCTCTTTAGGTGTATTAACAGGTACTAATCTTTTTAGAGGAACTGATTTAGAGGGAACAAATGGTTCAACGCATGGGCAGGAAGAAGGTTTTAAAACAGGCAATTTTTTTGGTTCAATTTTATAATTATCGTCTGCTCGTATTACATCGTCACAAGGAGGAGGTGGACATACCTTTTTGGGTTCGGGAATTTCAACTTTCTTTAGTCGTTTCAATGGCGGTGCGGTTTTGGGCATTTCTGGACAAACCGGCTGGCATTCTGGATTCACAGGTTGTACACAGCGGCATGTTTCTATGGGGCCTTTTTCTTCTTCTTCTAAATCACACTTTGATTTTGAAGGAGGTTTACCACATTTTACCCAAAAGCAAGTTGGTGAGGTGGAGAAATTTTTTTCAGTTTTCGCTATTCGCGTAGCTTTGCAGGTCGATTTTAATGCATGGTTCGAAAAAGATGCTTTTTGCTGAGAAAAATTTGCGCTACTGTTAGTGTCACTGTTAAAATGGTGGGAGAGAATTGGAGAACTACTTTCTGTTTTCCAAGTCTTTAGTCCACTACTGGTATTAGCTTTAGGTGTTGATTTCAACATTTCCGTTAACACTTCAGAATAGGATTTATACGGAGCATCATGTCTACATTCACTGTTTATGTTACTGTCGCTTTCGGAAATTTCATCCGGTATATTAATTGTGGTGGATGAAGGGGTTGGGTATATTGGTACATCGTTTTCTTTGGTTCGACTTTCGTACATCTGATAAGATTGAAGAAAGTCTGTTGTATTATCGTATCTTCTTTGCGAATATGATTCGTTCGTTAACGCGTTAGAACTGCGGACAACCACTCTATCTTTCAGATCTTGAAAAAAATTTATAATTTCTTCTACGTTTCTTTTCAATTCTGATCCTCTATAGGTGCTAATTGATTGGTATTTATAGCGGGGATATTTCCTTCTGAACGAAACAACGGTATCGTAAACTTCTTTGATACATTCCGCGTGCAAATTGATATTTTCCTTAACTTTGTTCAAATTATATCGCACTGGGTTTTCGGTGTTCGTATTAATAATATCATTAAGATTATCACATTCGTCATCTGCGCTAGTTTTTTTAGTATTGTTCTGCTTCGGCTGTTTGTCGTTTTTAGTGGGTGCTAAATCCAATTGGGATCTTTGATTTTGGATGTATGCAACGTACCTATTGTCTGCAGTATTTTTAGGGTTCAGAACGGAAAATGAGTTGGGGTTCGCTTTTTTTGTTGAAATTACAACTTTTCGTGGCTGTAAATGATCTTCTATGGAGTGAAACAAGGGTGCTGATTTACTTCGACTTTCTGTACTTATGCTATCGATCTGTTGATTTTGTACAGATCTCAATTTTTTCTCTTCGCGAGTATTTTTAAAAGATCGGTAACGGACTCGTCCTCGCTGAAATACGTCAGTTTTATCATCCCTGTCTAGGAGCCTCTTCGCCTTATCCACCTTGTTAACAAGAGGTACATTTGAGCAAGTCGATATATTAGCTTTTTTCGGCGAAAGCGGTGATAATAGCCTCATGTGGGACTGAAATGAAAATTTTGACTTTTAAAATATCGAAACACAAAAACTTCAAACACAAATGCAGATAGTCCTTTGTTGCAGCTACATTAATATCCATTATTTGCATAACTTGAGTATAAATGGGATGATAGATACAGAAGATATTGCAAAGAGTGTCAGAATTTAAAAATCGGACAACACTTTTGGATTATGAGTCTCTACGTTTCAAACATTTTCGGAAACAGCAAGAAAAAGCATTTAAACTGTAAATAGACAACTTATATTTTTTATATTTACCTTAAGTGGTAAGCGAGGAAAAGCCATTTTATTAATAAATTAATGGAATACGAAAATTTTGACCCAAAATGTAAAATTTAAATTGTACACTTCACTGATTTACGCTACATGCTGTCAAAAGATAGGATCAACGTCTTACTGGCAGGCGACTTAGATTTTTCTTGCAGTTTTTTGAGTGAGAATCAATTTATTCTGTGTACGGTTAAGCACAACAAATAGAAACTATCCGCATGTTAAATCAGAGCCAAGAAAAGGGATAAACAGTTTATTTATTTTGAAACCAGACCCCACGTTTCGCCTATAGTTTTCAGTCTTCTTCAAGGCTCTAATAACATTAGTATTTTTCTTTAGTTAATTGCATAGGTTTTTGCGTTAATATTGTATAATTGTTGCTAGCTACACAATGTTATAAATTAATGGTATTAATAGACGCTCGTGTTATAAATAAAATGATAAATATGAATAAATAATTAAAACCAGATAACTGTGTAAATAAAACAGTAAATATATATTGATATCATAATTATGAACGTTGACACTTAATAGGGGTTAACATCAAACATTAATATGAAATTTCATTTTTAATTATCGGGTTTGATTCCCGGCAAGGGTGCGACAACAGCAACAAATTTTTCCCCCATCAACTTGAGGTTGTTTGTAGTGGGATTGAAAAATAATTAAAAATGAAATTTCATATTAATGTTTGANTAAAAAAACAAAAAAAAACAGATATAGTAGGTATAGCATTTTAACATTATAACTAAGAAATTGATTATAGTTTTGTTTTTCTCCTGAATTACTTAAACAAATAACAATATTCTATGGAATTTTTCGTTATAGATTATATAACAGATCTTTACAAGTAAGAAATTCCGTTATTACGTGCACATTTAATTCGGATTAATAAATAGATTAATTGTGTGGTATTAATTCTTATAAAGTATTGTATTAATTGTTCTGATCGAGTTATCCGCCTGTCGCAAGGCTTTTTCGGTAGATACCCGCAACAGGTCCTTACATAAAACTTGTACATTCGACGCCAATTCGATTAGTTTTTTCTTCCGAGATAAATTTAAACAAACAATAATTATTGTTGTCACGACGCCATTAAACTCAATTTCACGCTCGAATAACTTCTTTTGTCGTTGGATTCGAGTCAGCTCAGCGGACGGGTCGTACGTCTAAGCGAAGTGCGAACAGACCAAATACGTACGATCGCCGTCTTGCTTTTCAACCAAGGGAAATGATACGTATTGTGGCCAAACTAATAACAAAATAAGAAAACCTCGGAGATATCTGCGTCAGTGCGCAGTCCTTTACAAGAAACTAGATCATCTGGTACAACAGGAAACAATATGTAGAGCGTAAAGTTGAGACGCAAATATACAAAATAAATCGCTGCATACACCATGCAATTATGACACTAAATCATTCGTGTCAGTGTCTAATTATTGCTCGGCATATCGACTATATTATAGATATGTTCCCACGTATCAACCAACTGCAGCCATTCTATTACAAAGCTTCGACTTCGTTCGCGTGGAATTTGATTAAATCGCAAACCCTCATTTTATAATTTTAAGGGTTTTACTATGAAAACCCACATTATAATGAATGATACCAATTTATAAGGAACCTTATCCAAAATCTCAAGCCTCCTGTCTCAGTGGTTTGGGCTGTGCTTAGACCGACAGATCAAACTCTTAACCCTGTAAATTTAAAAAATCCTTTCGTTGTATAAGAAACATCTGTGCAAAATTTCGAGTACATAGACCCAGGGGTTCGGGCTTGTGACACCCAAAATTTGCACTGCGGCACCCATCATGGTTTCTAGATGAATGGATACTTTGATACACGAAGCCATTTGCATATCGAAAAATAACTTTAAATATTTTTACTATTGTAAATTAGGTTAGGATAAGTTATGGTTTAGTTAGGTTGCGCGTATTTCTTTTGCAATATTCAGTACTTCATCCCTGACCTCAACCGAAAAATACTTTTGTAGTATTACACAAGGTCATTCCTGGTTTTCCGCATCATACAATGCATGAGGATCCTACATGTACCTCACGTTATACTTCTAAATTGACTTGATTATTGTAAATACATTTTTAATTTGTAATAACAATTCGAAGATTTTGTTGAAATTATCAAATCCCATGCGCCTTAGTTTTCATAACTACCTGGCTGCAATGATCCGATGCCCTTACCGGTTGTTCGCGGTCGTTTTCAATTTTACTTTTAGCATTCCTCTGGTAACAACTGTGTCATGGGAGCATGTTTGCAGGAAAAGTGTAACTTGATTTATTTTCATAATTTGTATAAATATTTTGCTCATGGCAAAATCAGATCGAACACCTAGCAATTTTAAGGCGATTTGCCTTTCTAATGAGCAACACATGAGTCTCTGTTTCATAGGAGGGCAAGTTGAAAAAATATTTTGCTCCAGAACAGTAGAGAGAGAAAGCCACATGTCATAACATCACCGAGCGGCATGGCCTAGAGGTTTAGACCACTGCTCATCATTCGGGAGGAAACCGATTCGATTTCTGATCGTTCTGCCCTGGTGCAGGTTTTTCTGTGGTTTCCTTGGATCAGTTAGGCAAATGCTGGACTAGTAATATTCAACTGGTAAAGCTTTCAGTAGCTTCTGTCTTCATATCATCCGTCTCATCTTCCTCATCCCAACTACCACCTACCTATTCCCACGATTCCTAAAGGATGAATGAACAGGGCCTTCCGGTGTAGTCACAAGGGACTAGCCACTGACCAACAACGATTGCTGGTGAGAATAAAATAAAACCCAAAAGTTAAGTTGATCCTGACATCAGTACTTCCAACGATTACAGTTAGTAGCAATATCTTCATGTAAATTGCAACAGTTCTAAGGCAGATTGAGGATCCTACTCTCATCACCTTTGCATTACGTGTTTTACAAATGTCAATCAGGCAAACCTTTCCCAATATAACCTAACCTAAACCCATAGTACTTCACACAGGTCAATTAGGGAATCCCTTTTCATAACAACCTAGCTTAAGTCCATAATTAACAATCAAAGAAGTCTATTCTTCCATAATCGAGCTAAAACCTTTGGGGCATCGCATATCACTCAAACCAATTAGAGAGGACTCTCTCACGATAATCAGGCCAAAATCCATGTTTACTTAGGTTAAGTATCTATTTATTAGGCACCAAAATTACACTTTTAAATAACGTTATGCCATTATTATTATGCAATCCACACGCAGTGATAGTAAATACTGTATAACTCCGATAATTACTTTCACAGCTTGTATGGAGGGTTTAGAAAAAGATACAAACAACACATATATTTATATTTATATTTACATTTAGTTTATTGTCTAATAATTCATCTCAAATTTAATTGACTGCAAACTGGCGTTTATCAGAGTCATCTTTATTGGCAACTCAAGGCATTTACATTCTCAGTGCGATTAAAAATCCAAACTACAACATTTGTACCTACGTGGTTTTCGTAAGCTTCACGTTTGCAACAATCCAATCCAATACGACATCACATTATTATGCTGATGATTTATATGATGAATGTGCCCACGTACTTTGACGGACGGTTAGACAAGATCTTTCGCCGTCATGAAGGATCAATAACTCTAAAATCACAACAAGGCTGTGTGTGCTACATTTTAAGAATACAAAATAGAAACAGGCAGTGATAATGAGAGCAATTTACTGTAAACCACAAGTGACGATGATATTGCAGGAAGTTTTTATTTTTTCGTGACACGAAATTAGTTATTTTCCAATTAAAACTATTAATTTCTGTTACGAAACACATAATTAATTATTTTTCAATTATTTTTGCGTTGCGTAACACATAAATAATTATTTCTGTAAAAATCATGATGTATGACAGTCAAAATCACGGTGTTATCATTCATTAGACGCTAACGTAACCTAACTTGAAAGCTAATCGAACCTAATACAACATATTAGAAAAATGTCGCCCAAGTGGGTTTAAGTAAGGTTAGGATAAGTCTTTTTACATGACTCATAAACGAGTGAGAGAGACAAAGCAATCATGCGTCCAGTAGTTGTCTTTTTCTAGAATTTTGATTGGTCCACGTCACAGTTTTGCGAGAGCGGATGAATAACGTAAAGAAAGATGAAAAGAGACAGGTGATAGCCTCAAGGTCGTTTTCTCCCTTTCTAGAGAGTAGTAAATTTCATATGGATATTGCTCAGTCCAATATGTATGTCGATGGCATGACTACATCTGACTCCTGGTGAAATTCTCAAATACCAAATTTGTGGCAATAATTTATGAAATTTATTCCTGCAGCCAAAATTTCGAAACATAACGCAGAACAAGATTTAAATTACAACATCATTCGGTGGCACCAACCCACTACTTTGACTGCTCGGGGTGCAGTCACTTCAATCACGAAAAATTTTAAACGATTTTAAAATTACCTTCCTAAGATGTTTTTGGTCTAAATGCAAATGCGGCATCCATCACATATACTGAGCTTTTTCATCCATAAAATTGGATGCAAGATACTATGTGACGGTCTTCGGAATGAATGTTTTCGATCATTCCTTTCGTAGTAACTTCAGTTGAGCGTACCGAACGTGTTGCTTCTGCAATGCTTGGGCAGCCATGTTTAAAAGCATTTATAAGGCATGGATTTCCATCATCTCAGCTTCTATTTCGGCAGGCCACTTTTTCAAAAGTTTTTAATGGCTGAATACTTTTTAATTTAAACGGCGATCAAACATAAACTAAGAGAAACTAGTCGACAAAATTTACAGAGGGGCGCTACCTAGGCTACCGTTTTCTGACCATAACATAAAATTGATATTCAGCGCCATCTTCATGCTGAAATATGACACATGTCAATCCGTCCAATTTTTATAGGCTTATGAGTGTGTTATTGAGATACTGTAGTCATTTACATTTAGCGTTACTCCCACTGTAATTTTTTTTTGAGATATCTCACTAATATATCTAACCAAATCAAATACAGTTTCAAATTCATTGCCTCGCATTAATCCTAAAGCCATTATTCTTGCTTAAAAATCTTAAAAGTGACTGCCACACATTCACTTTACATAGTAAAGTAGAAAAGCTATTCTTACTCCAATAATTTATCTCCCTTTAATTAACACTTGTATATTATTCATGTATAGTATGACCTTTGCCTATATTTCACGTTTGTTTCAATATTAAATCAAAGAATTAACAATATATATACTATACGGTAGTTACAACAATATATAGGGAACCTTACGAATATCTGAAGATCAATGAACCAATAAAAAGTTTCTTTATTATACTTGCTGTAGTATATGAACGAATGTAGGTATGTCAACGACATTTTTTATTGCTGTTGTTGTTAGATACTTAGTGGCTAAAATTCTTCTGTTAAAATCGTGCAGTACTTGTCCGTAACCCACTTACTGTTAACTCAGTGGTTCAGTTGTAATTGAATTTCTAATAAGATAATAATTATCATTTAAATATCGTATATACAAATTGTATTCTTATGCTATTTAGCGTTTTATTGTTTGGGTAACAAATAACCGTGTGTACTACAGTGCATCGATTTTAATCAATACTTTAGTTGGTCTTATCGTTACTTTAATTTATTTCTTATGAATGTCATACTTTCCAAACTTCTAAGTAATTGTTTATATGGCTTAAACACCCTTTTTATTGGGCGTGTTGATACCTTACTAAGGCCTTATCTATATAGCGCACGAAATACTTCACTAGCAGCATATACCCACTAGATGGCGGTATACTGTCTATACTTGGATTTTAGTCTATATATTACGTGGGGTGTCATCTGAAACGAACCGAGCGGCATGGCCTAGAGGTTTAGACCATTGCTTAGCATTCGGGAGGACACCGGTTCTATTCCGGGTCCGTCTGCCTTAGTCCAAGTTTTTCTGTGGTTTCCTTGGATCACTTAGGCAAATGCTGGGGCAGTAATATTCCACAGATAATCTTTCATTCTTTTCTGTCTTTATTTCGTCCGTCTCATCTTCCTTACCTGAACCACGCACCCAGTCCCATGATTCCTGAAAGCAGGCTGAAGAGTGCCTTCCCCCCTACCTTCCGGCATAGTCCGGAGGGACTGCCCGCCCACAAGCATTATTGGCTGGTGGGAATGAAACACCCAAAAGTTTTTAGTTTTTCAAATAAGAATCGGGCGGCATGACCTACAGGTTTAGACTATTGCTTAGCATTCGGGAGGACGCCAGTTCGATTCCTGGTCCGTCTGCCTTGGTCCAAGTTTCTCTGCGGTTTTCTTGGACCATTTAGGCAAATGCTGGGGCAGTAATATTCCACAGATAATCTTTCATTCTTTTCTGTCTTCATTTCGTCCGTCTCATCTTTCTCACCCAAACCACCACGCACCCATTCCCATGATTCCTGAAAGGTCTTCCCCCTACTTTCCGGCGTAGTCCAGAGGGACTGTTCGCCCACTAGCACTAGTGGCTGGTAGGAATGAAACACCCAAAAGCTTTTTTTCAAATAGGAAATTTCACTTGACAAAAGCGTATTTAAAAACTGATTGCAAGTCATATGCAAATTGTGAAGGTTTTCATACAGATGTAAAGATAAACTCTCAATAATATAATAAAACATTTATTTATGCTGTCTACTAGGTACATTATCCACGTCAATAGCGCAATCTGTACACTTTGTTGTACGTCTCTAATACGTTATATCAGCATATTTAATCTTGTACTCGAAACAATGAAATAAATAAACCAACTCTTATAAAACTACTAAGGAACATGTTGTGAAAATACTTTAAATCAGACACATTTAGATGCTTCAACGATTAACGTGCAGTGACATCGGATCAGTAGATGTCGCTGAATGTTAGCGTTTGACCGTTTTGAGAATGCAAATGGTGGTGTAACTCGTCCATTCCTGACTGGTTTGATAAGCTGTTTGCATCCGATAAAACTGACGAGACTGACGGTGTACTGGTGCCGTTCTGGGGGGTTGCTGTACTACCGCCGTGACCTCCCTCTTGACGCATCATATTTCTTCTCCATTTTGCTCTCGCATTTTGGAACCACACCTAAACAAAAATTTTGTTCTTGAACACCCAGATGACATTCACTTCAACATGATGTAATCGATTAGGAATTTTATTGACTTTATCATTTTACGCCGTATTGACAAAACAATATTGTTTGAAAAAAAAAAAAAAGAAAAGTATAACAAAAATACGAGTATGCAAGGGAATAAACAGTAAGGAAAGAGCGAATACAAGGATAGAAGAAGTAGCTGATTTTAATTATCTAGAAAGTCAGATAAATCAGGACGGAAAGAGTAGTAGAGATATAAAGCAAAGTATAACGCCTTCAATAAAGAAAAGTCACTTCTATGCTCGCGAAAGGTTAATTTAGAAATTCGAAAAAGATTGTTAAAGGTGTATGTTTGGAGCGCGGCACTGTATGGGTGCGAATCATGGACGCTAGGCGCGGCGGAAAAGGAGTAGACGTAGACTTAGATTAGTTTACTGTTCGCGAATACTTAAGAATATGGGACGTTTTAGTTTTAGGGAAATGCGAAGATTAGAACAGGATGTTAGGAAAGATTGGAGGTGCGTGTCCAACCAGTTTAGGACTGACGACGTTATGATGATGATGATATCATTTTACACTTTTACGATTTTCGATTAATACCTACCATTGGTCATTTCTAAATCCAAATTTTTTTTATTTTGAGAACACAAGTACGAGAAATACAAAAATAAAATAACCAAGTGAGTAGTCATTTCCGAAGTATATTTTTCTTTAAAAATTCCAATTTGGTCTCAGCATTGCTCAGTTGTTTGGAGATCAGAATATTTCGAAATTTCAATATGTCAGGGCCATTTTGAGACTAGATTTAGGTTGACCCCCAAGAGAACCCACTACGTATAACTAAAAAAGTCAAATTAACGTCTTTTGCATTTTAAAGTTAAAGTACTACAGAGAGTAGTAATTTCGACTGCTTTCTTGATTGTTTCACTTTAAAACAATCATAAATATGACATTCTTACAATCGGAACAATTCGTACGTATTTTGAACATGCTCTAGACAGAAACCGAAAACAATATTAGCTTGTGTGATGTTTTTCTGAAAACACAAGCCTCACGTAAAATGGAAGGGACTACATCATGGTGTATATAAATCGATGTTCTAAATTAAATTCGAACTCACTTGAAGAACTCTTTTCGAAAGTCCGGTTTTCTGAGCAAGTTGTTTAAGATCTTTCGCGTCTGGATTCTGATTGATGGCAAAATACGATTTCATTGTGCGGAGCTGGTGATGTTTGAACGACGTCCTCATTCTCTTCGTCCGCTGGGTCTGATGACCGGTACTGGAAGCGGGCGAGGACACCGACGAGTCGTACGATAACGGATCGATCGAAGACGGCATCTCCGACTGATGCATTATTTCTTAAACAAAACGAAAAAAAACCTTGAAAATAATATCCAAACGATTTCCACTGCTTCAGCTGAAACGTTCTGTTATACAAATGACAAAAACGGATAATCTGCAATTTCCTCGATGGTAAATTGGTAAATCTATGTAGATAGGTATCATATTTTAGTTAGAGTTGAATATTAAATTTTGTTTTCCATTGTATACGTATACATATTAATAAAAGTGTATCTGTTAAGTTTAAATATTTTCTTCTGCTAAAGTGGGGATACATGGTGTTGTAAGCAAAATAGAATTTTATCCATAATCCAAGAGCTAGTTGACAAACTTCGGCGCAATTATACTCAGTCAAAAAAACTGTTTAGCGTCTCTGACTCGAGTCGCTCATAGAGAGATCCTCATTTCGTATCCAGTCTCTGAACGAGAGACTCAAATCTCTGAACGAGAGACTCGAGTCGCTCATAGAGAGATCCTCATTTCGTATCCAGTCTCTGAACGAGAGACTCGAATCTCTGAACAAGAGATTCGAATCTCTCAATAAGTGGTGTCTCGATAGACATGGTTAGAATTTCAGAGATCCCAGTCTTTCTACGATAGAATTTTATTAATTCAGTCTCTCTGTGAGACTCGAATCTCTGAATTAACAATTTTATCGTTCGAGTCTCTCATACGGAGACTGTGAGAGACCCATAAAAACACCTAGACAATATCTGAGAGACTATGAAAGACTGTGAGAGACGCTCTCAGAGACGCTGAAAGACTCTGAGAGACTGAAAATTTTTGTCTAGGGTTGAAGGCAGACTTGTCCTTTATCTGCTTCGAAAAAGGTAATAACGCTATACATACACCTTAACCTTACATTATGGTAACAGTGATTCGCTGATTGGCTTGTATGAAGTGCTTTACTCCATGGAGGTAAGTTAGATTAGGTTATAGTGGGAAGGTTCACCTGATTGACATGGGTTTAGGTTAGGTCAGGTACCCACTTGACCAAACTTGAGTGGGTTCAACTAGGTTTGTAATAATGCAATATTTATAAAATCACATTCGAATCTTTTCGCTTTTGCTACATAAAGAATAATTAATATTCTAATAGACTAATGACTTATTTGCACAAATTGAGCTGCCTGTGGCAGTGAATGATAATTTATTATTGTTCGTACATTACACATATATGTATAACGGACGATTTGAAAAAGTTGTAACGGACAAGTGTATAGGTAATGATATTTATACACCTCCGCGCACGCTGCAAGCTGGAGAGCCCTTGAGCCCGGCGGGAGGAAGCTCTCTCACGGGGCTTGGGCTCACTCTCTCGGCCATTGCAGTGCTCAACAACCCTAGAGACGTGCTCAAGGGCCGTGTTTGTGTGCGCTCGCTCCCTCTTTCGCACACACAAATGCTCGCTCTTTATTGATTTCCACTATTTCAAAGCGGTTTGTTTATTCGCAATAACTCCGCGGATTCAGTCGACATTGCAATCGTCATCGTCGTCATACAGCGAGTTCACTGTTGACAACGCTGTTTCTCTACCGACTCCGACTGTTGGTTGTTTTTTTTTTGTATTTCGCATTGGCAACTTGGATGAGTACGCTCTTCGATGAATGCCATGCAAACAAACAAAGACTCGAAAACATAAGCACGACAAACGGAAACATGAAAAGCTTCTTCGACATGCAAAAATGTACCTATAGTATGTACGTACTCACTCTATGCAAACATTCCCATATTTACTAGTGAGGTACTGGTTGGCTACATTGTTACGTTTTAGAATTATTTGAAATGCGATCAGGCTCCTTATGGAGATGTCCACTTGTTATAAATATTATTTTATTATGTTCTTGGGTTAAAATATACGTACCTGTTCGCCTGTCCCACTTCCTTGAGTCGTATTTATAAAAATAAAACATTTACTTTCAAGTAAAAGGTAGAAATAAAATCTATTGCTACAATTCGTATTCATAATCTATAACTTTCCCTTGCAAGGGAATTCTTCGGATTAATAAAGTAAAAGGTAACAGATTAGTCCCTACCGATTTCGAGAAACTAGTTGAAATTTGCATTATGCAATCAACATGTGTGTGTTCCGTGACAGCTGTTTATTTTATTTGTTTAATACATATCTGATTTACTTGTGCAATGTTGAATGTTAGCAAATTTAAAATGGTTCGCACAATAACGCAGAAATATTTTCATTTTCTGCACAGGTGGCACGGCTGCTCTACGTGTTTTGGGATATTCGCCAAGAAAGTGGTCTATTAACCACACAACATTCTCCTCCTTAAATCTAAATAACTTTTCAAAATCTGATTCTCGAGGTGTACGTCTTGGTTTGTAGTACTTTCTTGTATCTAAAAGCGCCATATTAGCACAACACTGGGACCACACAATTAAACATTACTTATACAAGTTCGTTTAGATAGTTTTTAACACAAAAACAGTCCTACAAATATAGGTAAATTTTACAAGCTGTGNAAATATATAGTTCATCATCATCATAAGGTCGTCAGTCCGAAAATTTGTCGGACACGCACCTCTACTCTTTCGAATTAATTTTCGCATTTCCCTAAAACTAGAACATCCCACATCCTTAACTATTTGAGAACAGTAATCTAATCTAGGTCTACCTCTATCCCTCCTAACTCCTGTTTCTACCTCTAATATGTCTCTGACTAGACGTTCATGCCTGAGAAGGTGTCCTACCAATCTATCTCGCCTATTTTTTATTGACTTCCATAGAGTCCTCTGTTCTCCTATTCTATCCAACACCTCTTCATTTCTAACCTTTTCTACCCACGATATCCTCAGCATTCACCTGTAACACTACATTTCGAACGCTTCTAACCTTTTCTTTTCCACCGCGCCCATCGTCCATATTTCGCACCCGTACAGTGCCGTGCTCCAAACTTACACCTTTAACAATCTTATTCTTATTCTTTCTATTGAAGGCGACTCAACCCTGCGATCCTCTGCTTTATATCCTTACTATTATTTACATCCATTCCAAATAAATAGATTATCTATCCCTATCTTAGCTCTGATTTAGCATCTGGAGTAAATTAAGGACTAAAATGGATATCATAATAAAGACTATCGTCTTACAGCTATACTTTTTTGAATACAATTTAACAATTCGGGACCATAAATGTTCTAAAAATCGAAATTGTGAAAATTAAAATGAAATGTTTTAATATCGTTTTGTTAAACAATAATTTCCGTTGTTTTCTTCTTCTTACCTAGGTAAAAAAAGTAGATGAGAAATTCTAGTGTTATTGTTTGCATTAGATAATACCGTATTAGTTTACAGTGCGAGGTTCAGGTAAATCAAATATTTAATTTTAATTCGGAAATATACGTCTTACTCACCTTTCTTTGTTAGTAATTAGAACGCATCGATAAAAAATGATAAAATGTTAAGTATAAATACAAACTACCGAACAGCAACTCCCCACTGTGTGATTCTCTTTTAGTTTAATAAATAATAATACCCTGCCAGAACGATAAATACTCTACCCCAGTATGGTAAGAAAATATATGTATTGTTTAATTTTATTTCGTGTGAATTTTTGGACAAATTTGAATGTTATTTCTTGGAGCAATCTCGTAATTTTGAAAATTACATATTCTTAATTTGCGTAATTAATTAGTAATGAATTCGTGGAAAATCATATAATTTAACTTATTCTCAGGATAAGTCACTTCTGGTGTTGGCAGCATTGGTAACCTCTGGTTTTGCAGCAAGTATTAGTTCGCGTAGCTTAGACAATGATTTAAGAGAGATATATAATCTTATTCCGAAGCAAAAATATTTGGAAATGGCAAAACGTTATTTAAGAGATGATCCAGATTTTGCAAATGCTGTAGCTTTCTTGCAAGGTGACGAATGGAACGAATTAATTAAATCATTACTAGCTCAGGAAGAAATCCAACAACTGATACAGTAAGCAATGCGTAAACGTAGTATTCCTTAAAGAAAAAGGAATAGTTAGAGATAATGCAGAATCAAGATTAATAAAAAAAAATGCTTTTTAATCTCAAAAAAAAAAAACAACACCAACGTTTCGCCTTTAGGTTTGAGGGCAGCCTTTTTAATCTTGTCAGAATAGATTTTTGTTTTTAGATCGTGTTGTATATTAGGTCAAAGGTATTTATTTATTATCTTAATATAAAAACAACCCCTAACTTAGAAAACATTAATAGGCATACTAAATATAAATAATGATAAACACCTTATCTTCCCATGATTTTTAGTAATTTGTATTTTAAGACTTTATTAAGGTAGATTGCTTTAGCCAATTAACAATAAATTTACGATGATGTAGAGTTGTGAAATTTATTGTTGCAAATTACAAAGATCTAGGAACCAAAGAATTCATTTTGGATGTGATAAGTGTAAAGTTGAAACGTCGGTGTCGCTTTTTTGTAAAATACAAACTTTAAACCTATAAATTGACTCTGATTCTGCACATTATAAAACAAGGGGAAAAGACAGAAATTGTGATTACTAATGTTTTTATACTTTACCGCGCAATATTACAATAATCTTCACTTTACCATAAACCGCCATAGATTCCTGGAAGAATCCAATTTACCTGTAAAGAAGTACATGTTGCGTATAAAGGAAAAATTAGACAAGGCTGACACAAGCAAAGCGGATAGAAAATCGAAGGGAACTTTCAAAAGGTTTTTGAAAGAAGCAATTCCCTTGTTTCCATATGAGGATCTTGTTGCAGCTATAAAGAAAAAAATAGCGTCTAGTCCTGAATTCCGTCAGTTATATACGAAGCTGTCAAGTAACGAGGCTGGTCTTCTTGTTGAGAGAGTTGTACGTCTTCCAGAAACAAGCAAGTTGCTTGCTTATATCGCGGAACTTGGATTAATTGTCGATTTAGAGGGCAAACCAAAATTAGAGGATCTGAAAAAGGAACAGGATTGAATTTCGTAATTTCAGGTTTAGTATTAAGAACGTAGTAATCAAAAGCAGATTTTGGGCTTCAAAGTAAAAGCCAGTGGAGCAAAAATACCAACTCATCTACGCCTTTTTGAATAATACATTTTTTGTACTTAAAATAGGTAAAATAATATACTAATTTTATAAAGTGTTTATTATTTTATTGCATACGAATAATTACAATTATTTAGATATTCCTTTGACGTATTTATAGTATTGAATTTGTTGGACATATTTTACTTTATTAGTCACATGAAAAGGTGGCTGACGGGGATATTCGTACAAATTGTTTCATATTATATTGTATTTGTCAAAAGATGTTGCCACCCTTTTGATGGCTGCATGTAAGTGTAGAAATAAAAAAATTAAAAAAAAGGCTTCGACAGGCTTTAGAACAAAACTTTATCTATCTTACTACAAAATTTCAAACCTCTGTTCCAAACATTAAACTCATGATATCTAGAACCGATAAGCATGTTTATACTCTACGGCGCATGTACTACTGAATCCCCTTAATGTATCGGCATTTTCTAAATACTATTGGCTCGTGCCAAGGCGTCTTTCATAAAAGATATAGTCGAGTAGACTAATTCAAAATTCAAAACAAGAAAAAATCACTAAATTTTTTAAAACCCTGTCTAAAAGTGATTACGACGATTAATTTTAATTGCGAATTTCTCAATAAATTGATTTTATTCTGGTACATATTGGTTTTATTTTGGAACTTTAGAACGTATCCCCTATGATTCCATATTAATTACCATTCCATATCCACGGTTTCTGTATTCGCGGCATATTTATGGAACGTATACCTCGCGAATAGAGAGCTTTTACTGTAATGTTACTGTCCGCTGCAATTTCTACCTGACATCTCTTTTCTATTTTAACGTCTGTCATGAGAAGGTAGGCGTTCTGTTAGCAACCACTCCAGGCTGGTTAGTAAGTTGAAGAAAGAAGTTGAAAGAAGAAAGCGGATTGTGCCAATTTTAAACGTCCCAACTGTACTCTAATATGTCATCACACATTACAGTTCATTTTATTTTCCTTTAAAATTCGAAACTGGGTATTGTCTCTGAAACCTAAACCCTTTTTAATAAAATTAAGGGTCTTAATTTCTCCATAAACGTATTGTATGTGACTATTAATTCAAATTTTGGTTTTAGTATTGTAAATGGAATTTCAGCTTGGTTCAAACAGGTGTAATATTGATTTTAGTTAGGGCAGGTTATGTCCGATCATGACTTCATGACTGTTTTATTACGTACTCAATTAAATCGAAGTTCGTTAGAACCTACGAGGGTGGATTGATAAGTTTCCGGCCTAACCAAGAGATGACGCCACTAGGCCTACCTTGAGGTGACATTCTATAGTACCATCCTTGGATAGCTTGTAGCTATAGTTTCAGCCCGATCTCCTTGCTAGTGTAGGTTTGACAGCACG